GTTAGTACCTCGAACATTGACTTATGAAATTAAATGCTTGAGCTTGAAAATTTAAATCGACATTGGGCTCGATTTAATTGAAATGGCCGAAATAAAATAGAACATAGGCTCGATTAACTTAAATGGGCCAGCTAAAATAATTGGACTCGCTCGAAAATGATGAGGCTCAAATAAATTAATTATTCGGCTTCAATCCGCTTAAATAAAAATTTTCGATCATTCCAAGACTCGATTTTAAAAATATATCTTGATATATGATACATGGTTTATTAATAGAGGATTATTTGCATTATTCGTGGATATAGTTAATTGGTTCGTGTGGTGATATTTGACTTGATCATGAGAATATTTGACTTATGCATGGAGGATTATTGGATTTGCTCGAGCGATTATTGTGTTTATCTGAGGATGATTATTTGATTTGCTCGAGCGATTATTGGATTTATTCGTGGATGATTATTTGATTTTCTCGAGCGATTATTGGATTTATTTGTGGATGATTATTTGATTTGCTCGAATGATTGTCGGATTTGTTTGTGAATGATTATGTAATTTGCTCGAGCGATTATGCGATTCATTCATGGACATATTTGAATTTCTGGCGAGGAAATGAAAAAATAATCCAAGTCTCGACAAGCTATGGCGGACGAGCTGTTGAGTGTCGAGGACAAAATGAACGAACATGGATCCATCTAAGGAGGGTGACAAGCAGGGACGAGCCTAGATGATGTCAATCACCGGTGGCGATTTCACAAGGAATGGGTAGCAATCATTCTCTTTTGGAAAGGTAAGACAATCTGGAGCGGTATTTTCGACCTTCGGGTACAAAGCTATTCTCGACTCTTGTTCGGTGGTCGTGTTTAATCGACAGGGTCTATGGTCATTCTTTGTGTACTCTGGACAAACTGTTGAGGAGATTGTGATGCATATCGACATGGTTGAGATTATTATTTGGGTGACTAACAAAATGATTGGGTGTTATTATATCTTGTCATATTCGATGTTTTCCTTTTCGACCTCAGTGGCAGGTCGAAGAATTCGAGCACACATTACCATGCACAACCAGAAAAGGGAGGTAGAAAAATACATTCAACATTTTTTATCTTGTTCGACGCAATTATACATTTGATGATACTAACGGAGATGATCAATTGCTATCATATCTTGTTGTGCTCGATGTGTTTTTGTTTGACCTCAGTGGCAGGTCGAAGAAAAAATCCACCATGACTAAGGCCTCCGGGCTGGGTGGTCGCTTATTTCGATAGGCCTCCTCGGGGTCGGCAAGTGCCTGAAGACAAACTCCACCATGACTAAGGCCTCCGGGCTGGGTGGTCGCTTGTTTAGAACACCCCTTGGGATGGGCAGGCTGGCACCCTGTTTTGTACATCCCGCGGATTGGGTGGGCAAGTGCCTGAAGAGAAGAACAACAAAAATCCACCATGACTAAGGCCTCCGGGCTGGGTGGTCGCTTGTTTCGATAGGCCCCCTCGGGGTCGGCAAGTGCCTGAAGACAAATTCCACCACGACTAAGGCCTCCGGGCTGGGTGGTCGCTTGTTTAGTACACCCCTTGGGATGGGCAGGTTGACCCCCTGTTTCGTACATCCCTCGGATTGGGTGGGCAAGTGTGAAGACATGGATGACTCGAGCAGACCTCAGAGGCAGGTCGATAATTCTTACTTGGCTCTATTTCGTCTGGTATTGTTGAATATTTGTTTAAAACCCAGTGGCAGGTCGAGAAATTTCATTATGGATAATTCGAGCAGTATGAAGACAAAATCCACCATGACTAAGGCCTCCGGGCTGGGTGGTCGACCCTAATGTTGGGTCGTAAAGACATGGAGCCTATCGGAGACCTTGGAGGCAGGTCAATGATTTCTTATTGGTTATATCTGGTTTGTTATCAATTGGGTATTTGTTCCTAACCCAGTGGCAGGTTGAATGAAGACAAAATCCACCATGACTACGGCCTCCGGGCTGGGTGGTCGATCCTAGTGTTGGGTCGTGAAGATATAGATAGCTCGATCGGGTTGTCTGTTGATTTTGTTTTGTCGAATTCATTTTTCGACCCAAGTGGCGGGTCAGGTATATTCATTTTTGCTCGAGCAGGTTGATTGTTGATTCTGGTTTATCGAAATTGTTTTTTCGACCCAAGTGGCGGGTCAGGTATATTCATTTTTGCTCGAGCAGGTTGATTGTTGATTCTGGTTTATCGAAATTGTTTTTTCGACCCAAGTGGCAGGTCTGGTATATTCATTTTTGCTCGAGCAGGTTGTTCGTTGATCCTGGTTTGATTGCTTGTTGATTATGGTTTTATCGAAATCATTTTTTGATCCCAGTGGCGGGTCAGATATATTCATTTTTGCTCGAGCAGGTTGTTTGTTGATCATAGTTTGTCGAATTCATTTTTCGACCCCAGAGGCGGGTCGAGTATATTCATTTTTTATCGAGCAAGTTGATTGTTGATCCTGGTTTATCGAAATTGTTTTTTCGACCCAAGTGGCGGGTCAGGTATATTCATTTTTGCTCGAGCAGGTTGATTGTTGATTCTGGTTTATTGAAATTGTTTTTTCGACCCAAGTGGCAGGTCAGGTATATTCATTTTTGCTCGAGCAGGTTGTTCGTTGATCCTGGTTTGATTGCTTGTTGATTCTAGTTTTATCGAAATCATTTTTTGATCCCAGTGGCAGGTCAGATATATTCAGTTTTGCTCGAGCAGGTTGTTTGTTGATCATAGTTTGTCGAATTCATTTTTCGACCCCAGAG